TCTTTTTCTTTTTTTAGTCAATCTAGCCAAAGGCTTGTCAATTTTGATTTTTTTTTAAAGATTTTATTTACTTAATTGACAGAGAGAGAGAGAGACAACATGAAAGGGAACACAAGCAGGGGGAGGGGGAGAGGGAGAAGCAGGCTTCCAGCCAAGCAGGGAGCCCAATGTGGGGCTCGATTCCAGGACCCCGGGATCATGACCTGAGCTGAAGGCAGTCACTTAACCAACTGAGCCGCCCAGGCGCCCCAATTTTGTTGATCTTTAAAAAAAAAAAAAGAACCTTCAGTTTCACTGATTTCTCTATTGTGTTTCTGTTCTCCTTCATTTACTTCTGTTCTAATCTTTACTTTCTTCTGTCTGCTTTAGGTCTTGTTTGCTCTTCTTTTTCAAGTGCATTAAGGTGAAAGGTTAAGTCACTAACTTGAGATCTTTTCTCAATAGAGGTATTTATAGCTACACATTCCCAACTAAGTACTGTTTTGATACATCCCTTAGTTTTGGCATGTTGTATCTTCATTTTGATTCACCTCAAAGTATTTATTATACTTTTGATTTCTTCTCCGATCAGTTGGATGTTCAATTACATTTTATTTTCACATGCTTGTAAATTTCCAAAATTTCCTCTATTGTTGATTTCTTACCGTCCTAGAACATGTTTGAAATTAGTATGGTTGAAATCCTTTTAAATTTATTGAGACTTGTTTATGGCCTTGCAAGGTCTACCCTGGAGAATGTTCCATGTGCACTTGAGAAGAATGTGTCTTCTGCTGTTGTTGGGTAGAGTAATCCACAGATGTCAGGTCCAGTTGCTTTACAGTGTTGTTCAAGTCTTCTGTTTACTTAGGTAGATGATCTTTTGCCTACTTGTTCTATTATTAAAAGTGGGGTATTGAAGTCTCCTACTATTATTATAAAATTGCCTTTTTCTAAGTTTTTGCTTTTTGCATCGTTGGGCTGTGTTGTTAGTTATATATAGGTTTTATAACAGTTATGTTTTCTTGACTATTGACCATTTATCATTTTAAAACGTTCTTCTTTGTCTCTTGTAATAATTTTTTGCCTCAAAGTACACTTTATCTGATATTAGATAGCCAAAGCAGCTCTCTTTGGTTACCATTTGCATGGTGTCAATTTTTCCATCCTTATACTTTGAATTTGGTGTCTTTGAATCTAAAGTGAACCTCTTATAGACACCATATAGTTGGATTGTAGTTTTTATCCATTCTGTCAAACTCTGCTTTTTAATTAGTGAATATAATTCTTTTATATTTAATGTAAACTGGTAAGTAGGACTTCCATCTGCTATTTGTATTATTTTCTACATCTTTTATATTTTTCTCTAGTCCTTAACTGCCTTCTTTTGTATTAAGAGGATATTTCCTAGTGTACCATTTAATTCCTTTTGTGATTTTTAATACATTTTATCATTATTATTTATTTGGCAAAGAAAGAGAGCGAGCACAGGCAGGGGGAGCAGCAGGCAGAGGGACAAACAGGCTCCCCACCAAGTAGGGAGCCCAACGCGGGGCCTGATCCCAGGACAGCGGGGCCTGATCCCAGGACCACGGGACCATGATCTGAGCTGAAGGCAGATGCCCAGCGACTGAGCCACCCAGGGGCCCCATGTTTTTAACTACATTTTTTGAGTGATTTTCTTAAAGCTTACTCTAGGGCTCACAATATATATTATTTACCCAAATCTACTTCAGATTTATTCTAACTTAATCTAAGATATACAATCTTTCTTCCTATTTGGCTTGATCCTTCCCCACTTTTTTGTACTATTATTGTTATACATATTACATCTACGCATGTCACAAGCCCAACATTTTATGATTATTGATTATGCTCTTCTGTGTTTTAAAGTTTTTTTTTTAATATTCATTTATTTGAGAGAGAGAGAGAGACTGAGAGAGAGAACACGTGCATGTGCATGTGCACAAGTTGGGGGGTGGTGGCAGAGGGAGAGAGAGAATCTCCAGCAAACTCCTGGCTGAGCGCAGAGCCCGACACAGGGCTCAATCTCACAACCATGCGATCATGACCTGAACCGAAATCAAGAGTTGGACCCTTAACCAAATGAGCCACCCAAGGACCTCTAAAGAAGTTTTTAAATTATTTATAAACTTTTAAATATTAACCTTCTTATTTATCATGTTTGGTTCTCCTCTTTGCTTCCTGTGGCAATTATCATCTGGTGTTATTTCCTTGCTCCAATAAAGGTACATCCCCAACCCCTTCTTTTGCTCTATTATTGTCTAATATATTTCTATATGTAGACCTCAAAATACATTTTATAGAAAGTGTTTTATTTGTTCTTAAATGAATTAAGAAAGGGGGAAAATGTAATTTTTAAAAAATAATTACCTAAATACCTTTATTGGTGCTCCTTGTCTTTTCTTGTGGATTTAAATTACCATCTGGTATCATTTTCCTCTCGTGCTCTTTCCTCAGTCATGTCCACTCTACTGATGACCCCATCAAAGGCATTTGTTACACTTTTTCTGATTTCTATAATTTCCTTTTGATTCTTAAAATTTCCATCTCTCTGCTTATATTACCCATCTGTTCTTTCATGTTGTATACTTTTTCCAACAGAGCTCTAAACATATTAATTATAGTTATTTTAAACTCTCAGTCTGATGAGCCCAACTTCCTTGCCATATATGAATCTGATTTTGATGCTTAGTCTTTTCAAGCTGTGCTTGTTGTATTTTAGTATGCCTTGTAATTTCTTTGTTCGAAGTTGGACATAATACCCAGTTGGATTGGGTAAAAGGAACTCCACTAAACAGCCTTTAGTGGTAGTAATGTGAAGGGGGAGGGAACATTCTATAGTTTTATGATTAGGTCTCAGTCTTTTAGTGATCATGGTCCCACATGACTTTCACTACTACCTCTCAAGTCTTCCTCCCCACACCCCACTCCATTTACGTGAAACAGGAGGCTAGAAGGGACTGAAGTTGGGTAGTTCACTTCCCCCAGAGCTGGTTAAGCTCTGGTAAAATCCAGTGTGATTAGTCTCTAGCAAAGTTTCCTTTGAGGCCAGGCTTTTTGTTAAGGAGAACAAAATTTAGAGGACATATTTCAGAATGGTTAATTTCTCCTCCCTCCTGCTGAAACCACAAGATTTTTCTCTAATATTCAGAGTGAGAAACTGGTGGGGCTCCAGGAACTAAAACTCACAAAAATGTGCCCCTGGCCTGGTCTCCAGGAGTTTTTAACTCAAGCTAGTCCATGCTCAGTCTCCAGTAATTAGTCAATTACCCTTCAAGCATTCCTACCTGATGCTGGTTCCAGCAGTGGCTTCTGGGTGGTTTCTCCTTCAGGTAACCTGTGATCCTCTGTATTTGTCGATCTCAAGTTTTCAGGTGGTGCTTTTGTCCTGTGTCTTCAATTCTCTCATGGATCAAAGAATAGTTGTTGATTTTCAGGTTTTCAGCTTTTTCTTTTTGTTAGGATGGGAGGTGTGATTTCCAAGGTTCCTACATGTTGGACCAGAAACTGAAGTCCCCTATGCTGTTTTTAAAGAAACTACCAATTTTCTAGACCAGTTGTACCATTTTACATTATACCAGCAAATGTGTGAGAGATCTAGTTTCTCCACATCCTTACCAACATTTGGAATTGTCACTTTTTTATTTCAGCTGTTCTAATAAGTGTGTAGTGATTTCTCAATGTAGTCCAAATTTGTATTTCCCTGATGGCTAGTGATGTCAACCATTCTCTTCATGTGCTTATTTGCCATATTCATATACCCTCTTCAGTGAAATGTCACTTTGTGTCTTTTGACCATTTTCTAATTGGACTGTTTGCTTTTTTATTATTGAGTTTTCAGAATTCTTTATATATTCTAGATATGTATCTTTTAGCAGAAATGTGGTTTGCAAATATTTTCTCTCAGTCTGGATTGTATTTTCATTTTTTAATGGGGTCTTTGGAAAACAAAAGTTTTTAATTTTGATGAGATCCAATTTACCAAGTTTTTCTTTTATGAATGTTTTTGTTAAGAACTATTTTTTAAGAACTATTCACTAAGTCCTGAAGACTTTCCGCCTTCTTTTCCCAAAAGTTTTAAGTTTTACATTTAAATTAGATCCATTTTGAGTTACTTTTTGTACATGGAGCAATGTTTAAGTGGAGGTCTATTATTTTTCTTGGCCCATGAAATCCAATTGTTCTCTCAGATCTCTGTTTCTATCATGATTTATCATCACTAGATAATCAGCATGGTTTCCTTTTTGCTACAACTAACCCACTGAAAACAGTGATCTTGATTGGGCAAGAGGCAGGTAGATTTATAATTTTTTGGCAACATAAGGGGGAGTATTTCAATTGAGACTTTAGGCATCTGGAACTCAATGTGAAAATATCAAAGAGTGGGGCAACAGAGCTGGCTAAGACAGGGGTAAAAAGGAGAAAATAAATTAAAAAAAACTAACTTCCCTCAATTCTATCCTTTTGCCTAGCATTTAGATCATAGCAAACCCCAAGTTAAAAAAATAAGAACAAAACTACAGTCAAGTTGCATGCAAATAATGCTAAGGCATAAAGCATACCTTAAATCAGTATTTCCAAATTGTAGTCATCTATGGAATACTTACTTGAACAAATTTGCTGTATCTGTATGTAATATGTATTATTTCATGATTTTTGCCTTAACCAAGAACAATATAATTTTCTTAACATGTTTTAATTGTATCAATACAATCATCAGGTGACACTTTGGAGACTGATTAGTATATCATGTGAGGTGTTATAAGTAAAATCAAAACTCTCATCAGCCTGTGATCGATATTATTTTCCTACATAGGTGTGACATAAAATCACTGCCTGATGTTACTGTGACTTTTTATCAAGATTATCTGTCATCACGTTACTCACATCCAAGCTTTTGCAGGTCTGAAATTTTCTTCCCACTGAATATGTAGTGGGAATTCCAGTTGATAACATTTTTGTTAAAAAAAAAAAAAAAGGAAAGAAAAGAATCAACTGAGTCAAGTTGTCTTAGTCTTAAGAATTTCTGGATTTCGTCCTTGGAGGAGGTCAGGATCTTCCCAAGGTCTGGGTCCTCGAATATTCTTCCAGTCATCAAAAGCGGAGTCCTTTATTTTCTATAGAGCCACAAAAATTAAAGTATATATATTAGGGTAAAAGTCCTGTGGCTTTGATTAGGACACTACTAAATGAATGAATAAATGAGTGGAAAAAATCCAATAGGCCCTCAATTATAATTTTAACAAATAAATCAACTGCATGTCACACATAATAATTGAAGTAATGGCATATTTCCTAGGATTTGGAATTTTTCTTGCTTGCTATGGAGGTTATTTAGACTATCTTTCTCCCTCCCCCCATCAAAATAAAATTATAAAATTAGAGAAAGAGTCTGCATACTTTATTTTTGAAAGCACAAAGAAAGGCAAGAAGCCAGGAAAACAAAAGTCCAACTCTGAAGGCTGATCCAGCTAATAATGACTAGCATGGGTTAGCATGGTGACAGTAGCAAATGAGAGGAAAAGACCAAAGGTAGAGACCCTAAAGTCTGCTAGAAGGAAGGAAAGAGACTAAGATGATTTGTCCTGCACCTGAGAAATGAGTCTGAGCCTATGAATGAAGACATTCCCCACAGCTGCCAAGAGCAAATAAATACCTTTCAGTCAATAAAACCTAGTTTCAACTACAGTTTGGATCATGGTACCTTCACAGTTAGTGTGAAATACTTCTCAGCAGGGAAACAAAGGTAGGATAAAGGGAAAAATATAAATGGTTCTTCACCCTTCAACATCACTCTGACAGTAACTTTTCTACATCTGCTTTGATTGTTCTGGAATTATTGAGTAAATAAGATAGAAAAAGAGGCTCAGAGAACACAGAATAGCTTACATCCAGAGATAGGGAAAATGATATAAACTTACAATGAAACTTGGATAATAAGCATTTCTCTTTTGCTAACAAGCTGTATAACCTTGGGCAAGCGATTTAAGCCATCTGGTCACTAATTCCCTCATAAATAATAATAAAAAGGCGAACCAAATGGTCTACATGGTTTCTTCAGTTCTCAAATTCTTTGGTTTCCAAAATAACTAAAAGAAAATTTACTCCCAGACAAACCCTCCACAGCATCACTACTGACATAGTGCTTATAGATAGAGAAGTAGCAAATCATAGGTTTTGACAAAATAATGGGGAAGTAGTGAACTGAAACCATTCTCTAAATGTCACTTACAGTTTTGCTAGGAGTCTATATTAAATATATGTAAATGAACAAAGTTCTACTAATTTAATGTGCAAAGGAGTAAATTATTTTCTAGTTATGAAACTATCCAAAGTTATAAAAAGGTTTGAAGAAAGAATGACTTTTCCCAGATAACATAAGACATATATGCTCAAGAGAACTTAAGAATAATTCTTAGATGAGGGGCGCCTGGGTGGCTCAGTCGTTAAGTGTCTGCCTTCAGCTCAGGTCATGATCCCAGGGTCCTGAGATCGAGCCCCGCATTGGGCTCCCTGCTCGGCGGGAAGTCTGCTTCTCCCTCTCCCACTCCCCCTGCTTGTGTTCCCTCTTTCACTGTCTCTCCCTCTGTCAAATAAATTAAAATCCTTTAAAAATTTTTTTAAAAATTTAAAAAAAAATGAATAATTCTTAGACGGGATGCAAGGATGGCAGAACAACTTCACATAAACGTGTTCCAGTCTTCAAAGATCTTTAGTAAATAAAAGAGTCTCTGTGGAATTTTGCAAAACATGTACAGTCACTGAAGACTATGCTGTACATGTGTTGGGCAAGACCACCTAAGGCTTACCACTTAACAACCAACTGCTACAGAATTGAGTATGAAACAGAATCAAGAAGTGCTGAAGAAGAGCAGTGTCAATACTGGATTTTCAGCCCTGCTACAGTAAAGACCTCTCTTTAATACCTAGCTTCTACCTTGACATACACCTGAGACACCGCAAAGGCTACTCTTTAGGAATAAGGATTTTGCCAAGAGTAAGATCTACTTTGGACTCATTCCAACAAAGCTTAAAGCCAAGCTCTGACAAGATCCTCTAGAGAGACAATTTGGAGAATGAGTCCCATAAAGTTACAGCAGTTTAGGAAACACCAAAGCCTTTCCACAGATCCTCCCTTAAAAAGACAAAACCAAGCTCAAAATGATCAGCCAATAATTTAACTGCCTGCTAAAATGAGAATCAACTCTTCACAAGTCTCTTCAATGTATTATTTACAATGTTCACCTTTCAAGCAAAAATGACCAACCATACAAAGAAACAGGAAAATATGATCCACAGCCAAAAAAATCAACAAAATACAAGAAATGGAGAACATCCCCCCTAACCACCTGCTATAATACCATGTGCTATTAAACACTTTAATTTTTGCTAATCAGAAGAGTGGACAATGACACGTTGTTATACTTTTAACTAACATTCCTGTAAGTTTGGTATCTTGTCATATGTTTAAGAGTATTTATTCTCCACATCCCTTGCCATCAGGGAAATGCAAATCAAAACCACAATGAGATACCACCTTACACCAGTCAGAGCGGCTAAAATTAACAAGTCAGGAAACAACAGATGTTGGCGAGAATGCAGAGAAAGGGGAACCCTCTTACACTATCAGTGGGAATGCAAACCGGTGCAGCCACTCTGGAAAACAGTATGGAGGTTCCTCAAGAAATTAAAAATAGAGCTACCCTACAACCCAGCAATTGCACTGCTAGATATTTACCCCAAAGATACAGATGTAGTGAAAAGAAGGGGCACCTGCACCCCAATGTTCATAGCAGCAATATCCACTATTAATAGCCAAACTGTAGAAGAAGCCAAGATGCCTTCAACAGATGAATGGATAAAGATGCGGTTCATATATACAATGGAATATTACTCAGCCATCAGAAAGGATATATACCTACCATTTACATCAACATGGATGGAACTGGAGGGTATTATGCTAAGTGAAATAAATCAATCAGAGAAAGACAATTATCATATGGTTTCACTCATATGTGGAATATAAGAAATAGCACAGAGGATCATAGGGGAAGGGAGGGAAAACTGAATGGGAAGAAATCAGAGAGGGAGACAAACCATGAGAGACTCTTGACTCTGGGAAACAAACTGAGGGTTGTGGAAAGGCAAGTGGGTGGGGGGATGGGGTAACTGAGTGATGGGCATTAAGAAGGGCACGTGATGTGATGAGCACTGGGTGTTATACGCAACTAATAAATCACTGAACACTACATCAAGTTATGATGTACTATATGTTGGCTAATTGAATTTAAATAAAAAAAATTATTAAAGACACACACACAAAAAAGAATGATATTTATTTCCTTTTTGCTGAAGTCTTTACATTCTTTGCCCATGTTCCCACTGACCAACTAAAATATTAAACTTTTCCATGTTGATCTGTAGATGCTGCTCATATTTAAATAAACTAATTCATCATGAAAAGATAAACAGTATTTTTACAATTCCTCATTTAACTAGTGACTTTATATACATTATTTTGTTTTAGGCTGAGCTTTTGAATTTTTATAAACTCATCAGTCTTTACTTTTAAAGCTTCTGAATTTTGTATCACATTTAAATCAACTTTTCTGACTCAAGACCACAAAAAAGAATCTCCATTTTTTTCTCCTAGTATTTTTGGCATTTTTTTTTATTTTTAAATTCTTGTTCCACCTAGAATTTATTGATTTTAATATGTGAAATAGACATCCATCTTTATTTTCTTTTCCCAAATGACTACATAGAGTTAGTTGTCCCAATACCATATTGTTTGGGGTAGTTTTTTTCTGCACTGGTAATAATTCAAATTCACCTTAAGACAGACAGAATCAGTCACTGACTAGTAAGACTGTTACAAAAGAGATATTAACATATAACATATATTAACACATGTACCTCATACTCTGATTCCAATGATACTTTACTCATTTTCAGTTTTTTTTCTAATTCAGGATCAATCTGTAGAAAAGAAAGAGGAGCCATAAGTTATTTAAGTCTGTTATATGCAACTTGAATTTAAAAAGTCACATAAGGGATGGCTGGGATGGTAAGGCAGATAACAAACACATGACAAAATCTCGATCAATCCAACCATAGAGTGATAACTAAGGTACTGCTACCACTACTACTACAACTGTCAGCAGCTAATATTTACTGAGCACTTTTTATGTGCCAGGCATTTTGACATATACTCACAAAAACATATAATTATTATGATGATGATCACAAGTAAAGATAATGGGACACAAGGAGTTTGAATTACTTATTGAAGAGGAAGAAACTGGCTTCGAACCTTGGCCTTGTGCTTCCACAGTCCATGCTGTTAACCACCACCCTAAATGATGTTATTACATAAAAATAACATAAAAATACTAATAAATGTATGCTGCTCTTGAAAACAAAAAAGAACACCTTCAATACACCTGAAATAAAGAAGTGTCTAAGAAAATACTAGACAGGATTCCACAGTGGTAAATAGGAGCTGATGTCATGTTATCTGTGTGTGGCAAAGTGTTAAGGAAAGAAGAATGTGATTGCAGAAGTCAATAAACAAACAACAACAACAAAACCCAAATTAACATAAATGGAAGAGCAGAATAGTGACTGAATTTAAGACTAAATTAACACACTAGAAATACAACCTGAGGATTCCATTAGAATGCTGCACAAGAGTTGGGATGAACGAAAGAAAAGCTGTGTTATAAAAGCTAGATCCAAAAGTTCCAACACATGTCTATTAGGGGTTTCAGAATTAGAGAACAAAGAGAATGGAAGAAGGGATATAATTAAATAATTGACCAGTAATTAATTGAATATTTAGAGAAACATGAGTCCCCAGATTGAAAAAACACAATAAAAAATAACCACAACAAAACCAAAATTGCCCATTCTTAATCAAGTAATAGTAAAGCTTTAGAATACTAAGGATAAAAAAGAAAATCTCAAAACCAAAAAGAGTTGAAAAGACTGTTTACTTACAAAGGAATATGGATTAGAAAAAAGACTGCTCAAAAAAAAAAAAAAAGACTGCTCATTAGCAACCTTGTACGGTAAAAGAAGATAGAATTATTTCAGTATTGCTATTGATGGAGGATGATTTTCAACCTCAGTTTTATTTTTACTGTTTTATCTTTTCTTCTTTCTTGACTTTTACTTGATTTTTTTTCTCAATCAGTTTCGAGTGGTAGAAATATATACAAATGTATCAATAATTACAGTAAATATTAAACTCATCTATTAACTAGTAGAGATTTTCTGAACTTTAAAAAAATCCTGCTATACACTACTTACAAGAAATGCACATAAAAAAGAATGAAAGCACAAGGTTGACAGTAGAGGGCTATAAAAATGATACACCAACAAAAAAGCTATGGGGATAGGGAGATCACTAAATAGCAGTATTTATAATGGATAAAACAGAGTTCAAGGCAAACTATCAAAAAGGCAGATTTTATATTGATAAATGGAACAATTTTTCAAAAATATGTAAGAATTATAAAACATCATGTGACTACATTGCTTTAAAATGTATGCATCAAGGGATGCCTGGGTGGCTCAGTCGTTAAGTGTCGCAGGTCATGATCCCAGGGTCCTGGGATCAAGCCCCGCATTGAGCCCCGCATTGAGCCCCGCATTGGGCTCCCTGCTCGGCGGGAAGCCTGCTTCTCCCTTCCCACTCCCCCTGCTTGTGTTCCCTCTCTCACTGTGTCTCTCTCTGTCAAATAAATAAATATTTAAAAAATAAAAATAAAATAAATAAAATAAAATGTATGCATCAAAATGGATAAACACTTTTTTTAAAGAGAAAGGTTTTCTTTTTTTTTTTTAAAGAATTTTTTATTTATTCATTTGAGACAGAGAGAGACACAGAGAGAGAGAGTAGGAGCAGTGGAGAGAGGCAGAGGAAGAGGGAGAAGCAGACTCCCTGCTCAGCAGGGAGCCAGACGTGGGGCTTGATCCCAGGACCTGGAGATCATGACCTGAGCCAAAGGCAGATGCTTAACCATCTGAGCCACCCAGACACCCCTAAACGCAAACATTCTAGAAGAGCTTAACATACCTTTTACAGAATCTAATAGATCAAGCAGATTATAAATTAATGTGATTATTGAAAATATGAGTAAAATAATAAGATTTTTCTAATAGGCATATATAGAATTTTGAGCCCCAAAAATTTAGATTGCCATTTCCCCTCAAATACACACAATATGTTTATAAGAACTAAACTTATTCTAGGGCAGAAGGGAAAACTAGGCAAATTCACATGTAAAAAATATTGTCATACATGCCACACTGACTATATTAGATAACATTTAAAATCACTTGATCCTAGCCAAAAGGCTGAGAAGTGGTAACATTTAAAATCAATAGCAAAAAGGTAACTGCAGGAAAGATCCAAATATATGGAAGCTAAAGAAGTTTTAAATTATATTAACATGTTAAAGAGGTTATAAAAAATGAAAATTACAAAGCATTTAGAAGTGAAAAGTGACCTTGTTGAACTACCTTATTCATTCTAATAGTTTTAATCTTCTTCAGCAGACAAATTTCTTGGTAGGCAACATTTCATCTGCACATAATCACATTTTCAATACTTTCTTTCTAAACTTCACACCACTTATTTCTTTTTGCTGTTTGACTGTATATGGTATAGGGCTATGACCTGCAAAACAGTACTAAAAAGTAGCTACAATTATGAATATTCTTTTCTTATTCTTGGCTTTAGGGGAATGCTTCTAATGTTCCTCTATTAAGAATATTTACTATGATTACGGTTAACAGAATTCAACAAAGTGGCTAGATTAACAGATAAATATCAATCAAAGTGCATGGATCTACATACAAAATCAATAGGGTTTCTTTACTCAAGTGAAAACCAATTAGGAAATGTCAGAAAAAGAAGAATCCATAACCAGAATAGTCTTATCTATTTAAAAAATTAAAAAAATAAGACTATTTAAAAAAGTCTTATCTATTTAAAAAGCTAAATACATTTTAAAAAAGACTGAAGCCCAGAAGGTGTCACTGGCAAATTGTATAAAATATTTAAGAAAGTAACACCAATTCTACACAATCTGTTCCAGAAAATAAAAAAGGAGGGAACCCAACTTATGTTATGAAGCCAGCATTACCCTAATACCAAAACCAGAATGTTGGGGAGGAATTTTCCCTTCTTCCCTTCTAGGTTCATTGGCCGGCCTAATAACTGACATAAAACATGAACAGGAGAAAAAAAAAATTAATTATGTATGTATGGGAGGCCCACAAAGACATGAGACTCACAGGTAGCCAGGCAATTGAGTTAGGCAATTAAGTATCATTCTGAGCTAAGGAAAATGAGGTAGGGAACTAAGGTTTAAAAGGGGAGAAGAAAATCACAGGAAGATGAAAAGAGCAAATGTTTGGTAAACAAATGTCTACTATGCCATGCAGGTAAGTCTTTCTGGTATAAAAAGTTATATATCTGGTAAAAGATCTCTTCCTGGTACAGGCCCTCCATCTAAGTTGTTTTAGGCAGTTAAAGGAGAGATAAAAAGCTTTTCCATAGTCTGCTGGGTCTTCAGCTCAAAATAATCCACATGTCAAAATGGTTCATTTTGGGAGAGCATATCCTGCTCCCCCTCAAGACCAAACAGTAGGAGGAAAAAAACAAAAACTAAAACCTGCAACAATCTCTACAGTAACCCCTCCTGGAAAAGTAAAAATAGAGCTTTCAAACCAACAGAACAACAACAAATTAATAAAACATTATTAATCCAAAAGTGGACAAACAAAAGTCAAAAAGAAATAATTGTAACAAATAGTGCATAAAAAGAAAGCATATTTAAACCCAAATATATAAAAATTTACATTAAGTGTAAATGGATTTAATGATCCAATTAAAAAGACTATTAAAAACATATATTCTGTTTATAAGAGATATATATTTAAAACTTATGTTTATAGAAAAGTTAAGATTAAAAAAGAAGCTAAAGAAGTTATATTGACATGCAACAAAACAGCCTTTAAGGAAAAAAGCATTATTAGCAAGCAAAGTGTTAAGAAAAAGACAACAGGGGCGCCTGGGTGGCTCAGGCGTTAAGCGTCTGCCTTCGGCTCAGGACATGATACCAGGGTCCTGGGATCGAGCCCCGCATCGGGCTCCCTGCTCAGCGGGAAGCCTGCTTCTCCCTCTCCCGCTCCCCCTGCTTGTGTTCCCTCTCTCGCT